GGAGGACTTGTCCCTGCCCTGGACTCACAGCCCCTCCTCTGTCACTCCTACAGTACAGCTGCTATCCACACTGCTGAGTCCTGGGATTATCGTCCAGAACACGAATAAACACCATCCCACTGATTCAGTGCTTACTTTAGTCGTTGATCTACCAGACAAAAACCTGAATAAAGATATTAGCAAACCCATCCTACAAATGAGAAAACTGAGGCTGAGAGAAAAACACTGTGCTAAACTCCTGATCACCACGTCACACTATGACACCACCTCCACATCCACACACCCCAGTGCCGTGACGGCCTGTCTGGTGGTGACCAGAGCAATGAATGGGACTGTCAGCCGGGGGAAGGCAGAGAAGTGAGAACTCAGGGGTGACCGCGTAGCCTTGTCCGGCAGCCCCTCCCTCAGTGTCTGGCAGAGGGACTTCACCCACGCAACAGTCAGCGTGCTGTCGGACAGGCCTGTGAGGGCTGGCCTCAGAAGCTGGCCTCGGTTTCACTCAGGCCTGCCCCAAACCCTGAGGAATGTGCTGGGCTGTTTTGTACTCATGTGTACCTGAAGGTGGCCAGAATCGTTGGGGACGGGCAGTATAAGAGAAAACTCCCAAGAGAATGACAGGTATGTCTCACGCCTGGCAGAATCCCCACTCCACAGTTGTCTGTCCCTTTCGGGAATTGGGGGGAGTAGAATGTCTATTACAGAAAGGAGATGGTCCAGATCCAGGGGGAAGCAGAGAGGGCAGCCTCCCTTCCTAAGCCTGCAAAGCTCATCCTTTCTTGACTTCAGAGAGTGTCAGCTGTGACAGGACCATGCACAGCCAAAGGCCTCAGACGGTGACAGCTTGTGGCGAGGGATTCCAGGGAGAGGAGCCAGGGTAGGAGCCCCTAGACCCGTCTCTGTCCTTTACCAATTGCCAAAATTTCCTTTTAGCAGAAGGAAAAGTCTTTAACTTCTCACTTCAACAACTAGGCTCAAAAGGCGGTGAGCCTAGGAACAAAGACTTAACACACTGTGGACCGGTGACGCAAATTTGCATCTATACATTTAAATGCTCAATTTTTTATGTATTATGTTTGTAATTTTCAAAAAATGACTGGGCCGGCATTGAAATGAGTGGTGCGTTGGTTAAGAGCTGGCTTGGGATGCCAGCTCTGAGCAGCAGGGTCCCAGTTCGGATCCCACATGAGGGCCAGTGACACTGCCGTCTACAGCTAAGATGCTGAACAACAGCTCGACCTGGAGCTGGGCTGCAGTGAGTCGCCAGCGACGGCGTAGGCTGCAGCCCCTGCTGCAGTGGGTTGCCATGGGCTACGGTGTGTGGCCGGCAGCCGGTGTGAGCTGCCAAGAGCCGCTGTGAGCGGCCGTCCAGAGGCCGGTGACCGATCTGCCTCAGCCGGGAAGAGCGCAATGATAATACCAACATGGGCCAGTGAAGCAACGTCCTCCACAACTAGGCTGAACAACAAAAGGACAGCAACTTGTCTGTTCCCCTTCCCCAATTCCCCAATAAAATCTTAAAAAAAAAAAAAAAATGACTAAACCCAGCCAGGCACACAGAACTCTGCTCTAAGTAGTATTGGGTGGTATCTGAAATGGGAGAAGAGGAAGAAGTGCCACCGAGGGTGGGGTCTTGGATAAGACAGAAAGGCAGACAGCCACCTCTGATCTGCAATCTGCCTAGTGAGTCCTACAGTTCTGCCAGTGGCCAGCAGGTGGCATTGGCTGCAAAAAGAGAAAGCTGGGTGAGCTGGGCTGAGAAGGCTGCTCCTTAGCCCTAACCCTGCACCTGACCTCCCCAAGGGTGACTTTTCCTTGACTCAGCAGAAACCTGTCCCTTTCTGGTCCCCCCATTCCTCCATCTGGAACTCAATGGCAAGGGCAGCGAGAAGCACCCCCCCCCCTCACATTCCCTATGACCCTAGAATCCCCCATGTTTCTCTTGAATGCAGACTACAGGACGCTTGGGGTAGGAGAGGGCACTGGATGGGCTGCTGTCAGAAGCCCAGGGATCTAGACCAAGTTTTAATACCTACCAGCTGTGTGCCCTTGATAAATAATTTATCTGGGCCTCACTTTCCTCATTCATTCATTAACTCGTTCATCAAATATTTATTGAGCACCTATGATCCAGGCACTGTTCTAGGCACCCGGGATACAGCAGTGAACAGAACAAACTCCTTGCCCTCATGGAGCTGATATCTGCAGAACAGAACTAATGTCACACTAGAAGCTCCAGGAACCAATCAGAATAAGTGAAAATGCTTTGAAAACGGAAGTGATGTCTCTTTTGTTCTCCACCCCAGAATGCCATGGGTTGGCAGACAGAGAACACCTGGACAGGATGGCTAATGGCCAGGTGATCCCTCTAGTGTGCCTCTGCTATCTGCGCCCAGGTCCCGGACCCTTGCTGCAGCCCTACCCAGCTCAGCTTGGCCGAGAAGACAGGCCACCCTCTAGGATGGACCACAGTCCCCACCACTCACCATTCAGCTCACAGCCAAGAAGCTCAAAGCGCAGGGTGCAGCCCCGGTGACACATAACGGGCACCAGCCTCACATACTGCGTCTCCAGAGGGGTGTCAAACAGGTTGGTCTTCAGGCTATTGTTGTCCCAGTTACCCTTAAATATCTAGGAGGAAGAGCAGATTGTAGGAGTGGTCAGTGTGGGCAGTCCCCCTCCTGGGCTTGCTACAGGGGGGATTAGGAGAGCCACTGGGGACTCAGCCCTTCCCCTGGCCATCCCACAGTCAACAACCCAGATTCCCTTTGTCACAGCTTCCTTGATCATCATGGGGCCTGGGCACAAACCCCTGTCTTTCACACAGGGCCGCCTATAAATTTGTGGGGTGCCTCTGTGCAAATTAGAAAAAGGCACTCCTTTCTCGTGACACTTCACTATGATATCTATATTGTCAGTGGTGCTCACCTAGTAATGACATCCTTGAGCAGTATACAACCTGCACAACTGTACATGGTGGCCCTGGAAGGGTCAAAATGCACAACAAGCCACCCTCAACAGATCACGGAAACCTTTTGAGTCTCGCTGTTCTTATGTATAAAGTGGGGCTATTACTTATAACCACAAAACATGGGAACAATCTGGGTTTCCCAATTTCTGGGAACCAAGATACACCTGAAGACCCACCTCATGGCCAATCGCTCAGGTTACCCTTGCCTCATTGGGGGCCCTCAAACAACACTGGATCCCCAAGGGTGCTGACCACAGTCCTTCCTCAGGGCCCCAACAGCCTCACCTTGTCTCCTGATTCATCGTCTTCCTGGATAAACTGGAATTTTTTCCCGTTGAGGCTGTAGGCCACCTTGAAACTCTTTATGTACTCAGCACTGCCTGAGCGGCTGGCGCCCTGCGTCACCACGCCCGTCACCCGCATTTTCCGCATCAGGTTCACCTGGACCCAGGGCAGGGAGGACGGTACCTTTAAGCTCACCGGTTCCTTCTACCTCTTCCACTCCACATCCAGAGAAGGAATATCACAAGCAGAACAAATAACAGAGGCCTATGCATCCGGCCCTCTCCAGACGGGGCCCAGTACTCAGCGAAGCACACAGGACCGACAAAGCCCTCAGAGGTCTTATCCAGTGCAAACAGGCCCTCCACAGCCTGAGGTCTGTTCCCCTCATCCTGCCCACCCACTCCAGGCCCCCCAAGGCTACCGTCCACTTATAGACACTTCACCTGCAGGAACCTGCTACCTGGCCACCTGGATCCCCATTCTGAACCCTTCCTGGGGTGACCCCAAATGCAGGCACACTCATGCTCCCCTCCGATCACGCCACCCACCCCAGGGCCCTCCCTTCCACACCTGGATCCAGGGTCTTCTATCGTAGTTGCTGGCTGTCCAGGCGTTGACAATGCCCGTGCGGTGCAGGCGGGCCAGCTCCGGGGCCCAGCGCTGCAAACCCATGAAGCCAAAGTACAAGGACGAGGCGGAGATCTGCGAGTCGGCAATGGCACCTGTCTGCATGCCCAGAGGCATGGTGCAGGCTGCAGGGAGAAAGACAGGAGTCAGGGGGCCACCCGAGCAGGTGGGCCCCAGAGGATAAGAGAACAAGACAGTGTGGCCTCTGCTGAGAACCCAGAGCAGAGACAACGAATGGACAAGGAGGGCCCAAGAAGAGATATCAAGAAAAGGTGCGTGGTGAGGCAGAGAGCGGCCAGACATAGTCATGGGGGGCTGGGACCCAGGTCTGTTCTGATGGAGCTGCTATAACTGGGGGCCAGAGCCTCTCCAAGGCTGCAGTTGGTGGTCCCACCAGGAGGACCACCACATCCCGCCCAAGCACAGCTCCTGGCTTCCCCAGGATGGCTTTGGGAGAAGGGGCACCTCAGATGCCAGTATACTGCCCATAAGGCAATAAGCAAATCAGTGAAGTAAATGTGCCTGGAGTATTCTAGGATCCCATATGGCAGGAGTTTTCCGGGTGGGGCACGAAGGCCATTCCGTCTTCTCTCATACCCTCTGCCTCTTCCAGCTCCTGGTCCTGACCCAGCCATCTACAAGACTGCCTCTGGCCAGGGCCCCATCACCTTCACCATCACCCCAGCAGTATGGCCATGGGAACTGAGCCATTTTCCTTACTCCCAAGCAGAGAACCTAGGGTCAGATCACCCTACTCCAACACCCCTGGCTCAAACAAGGAGGGGCTGCCCCACCTCTCACTCACCTCCTGCCCGAGAAGGCTAGGTGGGTAATTCCAACTCAAGCACACCCATGGTTACCTAGGCTCCCAGCACAGTAATTAGTGGGCCCACCCGGCCCCACCTAGGGCTCTGTCTGCCTTGGTGATCCCCCACCACACACACCCACATTCCTCCATCCAGGATTTCAAACACACTGGCCTCAGCCCAGGGCCCAAGGCACAGGCCCTGCACGCTGCTGCCTCCCACAGGGTGAAGGACATCACTTCACCGGCTCTCCCCCAGGGCCCCAGCTCCCACCCAGCTGGCACAGCCTCCCTCCTCCTTCTGCAGGTCAGCCAACCTCCGTGTGCATCCCCACATCTGTCTGAGGGAGAACAGCCAACCCCCTGCCCGAGACAGTCAGTGAGAGACCCACGGGACTGCAGAGATCTGCCCCCTCCCCCAACTTCACCCACCCTGGGCCTAGATGTAAACTTTTCAGAAAAGTCCTGGTTTGGGGGGAGGGACTCCCGCTGGGCACGGAGGGAGAAGGGCACGCAGAGCCGCTGAGGGCAAAGTGGTTGGGCACCCACCCAAGGCCATTCTGTGGCCGAGTGGATAACCAACCAAGCCAGGCAAGTCAGCCCCTCTGTACCCACTGGGCCTCTGACCACCTGACCATGAAGGGACCGCCCAGCCTGCCCAGGCCTCTCCCTCCCTCACTGACCTCTATGATGAGGCCACAGGTCAAACACGGTCCAGGCGCTGTCAGATCCTGAGGCCCAAGCCTTAGTTACTGACCTCCTGGGCCCCAAAGATTAAGAACATGTTTGTTTTCCCCTGATGGCAGAAAAATCCAAGGCTTAACCCTAATGCTGTGTGTCTGATTCATGGTGACCCAGGAAATAGCACTCCCATGACCTTAGGGGCCACCATCGCCCCTCACTCCCTTGCAATAACATCAGGCCTGGCCTGCAGTCCCAGGCAAGGAGGCTGGCTGGGAAGAAGCCTGGGGAGGGACAACAGGACAACCCTCCCACCTACCCCGTGGCCTAACCGAGGCTCTGTCTACCCAGAGGAGGCCCTGGCTGCCAGGACTGTGGCTCAGGGTCTGTTCCCCCCGCCCCAAGGGCTGGCACCCCCAGATACTCACTGGTCTCACAGTGGGTGCCTGTGTAGCCATGAGGGCACTCGCAGATGTACTGGGTGAAGACGTCCCCACGGTGTGAGTCGTCGATCACCTGGCACTCAGCATCATTGAGGCAGGGGTTTGGGAAGCAGGGACCTGGGGAAGGGAAGGCAGGTAAGACGGGCAGGTGATCAGGAAGCAGCTGGGTGCAGAGACAGGCAGCAGCAGTCGGACCCAGCCCAAACGCACACTCCGCCCAAACTCAGCTCATCGCCCGCCTCCCCCCAACCATCCACTCCCTCCTTCCCTGACTCTGCCTGATGGAGGCTGGGCCAACCTGGCGCCAAAGGAGGGTCATCTGTAGGTGAAGCAGCCCAAATAGAGGAAAGCAGCACAGCTTTTCAAGTGGCCTGGGAGTTTCCAGGGAAATGCCAGCTGACAACGGGGAGAGGTACTGGGGATGCTACCCACTTCAGGATGGACATGCTCAGCCCAGCAGCCTGGACTGCAACTGGGAGCTGGGTGTGGCGCAGCAGCCGCAGTCCAAGGTAGGTACCTCTCTCAGTCTCGTTGCAAATGAGGCCTGTGAAGCCATCAGGGCAGAGGCAGTAGAAGGGGACATTGTCCTGGCCCAACAAGCAGGTCCCACCATTCAGGCACAGGCCGGAGTCACAGAAGTCACCTGCAGTGGCAGGAACAAGTCCTTCACTCAGTAGACATTTGGGGGGCCAATGACCACGTACGTGCTGGGCCCCCAAGAGAGAGGGCTTCAAGAAGCCATGGGAAAAGGGCGGAGAAGTCAACGGGAGTGAGCAGGCGCCATGAGTTCTGACGGAAGCCTGCACGAGGGGCCACTGCAGGTGTGGTTTCTGCCATGAAGATGAGAGTTTCACAGAGGAGGAGGGGACATGTGAGCTGGTCTAAAAGACGGAGTGGGAGTGTGTGCCAGGCTGGGGGATGAAGAAAGCACACTCTACAGAAAAGCAGAAGCACAGAGAGCATGTATGCTGGAGAACAGGAAGACAGCTGAACAGGTAGGTTGGGGCCGGACTGGGAGAGACTTAAGAATGCCAAGTTTAGACTTTTCACCCTGCAGACCAGGGGCTCGTAACCTTCCTGCGGCCTCCCCACGATGGTCCACCAAAAAAAATAAATCAGAGATTCTCAAGCATGAGGTAGGAATGGGGAACCCGTTTCCAAGTCTGAGAAGGAAGTAGCTACCCAAAGATCCCTCTAGCTGCAGGGTGGAAATGTGACAGGAGCAGGGTAGGTAGGAGACCAGGAGAGCATCAGGGAGGCTATCACAGGACTCCTGGTGAGAAAGGAAGTCAGGAGAAGGACAGGATGATTTGAGAAACACTGGACAGGACTGCAGTGGTGGGAGAGAGCTTGGGGAGGACGTCACAGCTTCTACTTGGGGGCCTGGGTGACAGATGCGCACTATTAGTCCGTCCCTAGTCCCTTGGCTCTGGTGAACTGGGTCAGCCCGCAGGAGGGTCTTCTGACCTTAGCATCCCAGAGGCCTGCACAAGACCCCACACTAGAGGTCCCTCCTGAAATCCCAAAGCCCCGGAGAGAGGGCCCAGGCTCCAGGAAAGGGAACACCGTTAATGAGCAATGGAGCCCTCAGAGCTCCACCTCAGCACCGGCCTCCAGGCTCCAAAGGAGCTATTAGTCACTGGCTTTAAATAGCAGGTTAATCCCCTCCCCTGACCTGGCTGGCAGGCTGCGGCACAGACAGAGGCTTAGGAATGGCCAGAGTCCTGGGTTCCTGTCCCAACAAGGTCCAGGTCCTCTTCCTTCCCGTGCCAATCATATCCTGCTCCAGGGAAAAGCAGTCCAGTGGGAAAAAGGGAAAGTGAAAGGTATTCCCTACCTGGAGGGCCTTAGACTGACTCACCTGCGCACAGCAGCCGGTTCGTCGCCTTTGGCTGCTGGGCTCCCCATTCGGGAAAAGCCAATTCACATCCCTACTACATCACCTTTGGGATTTCAGGGTCCTGACCTTTGGGGGGATTTCCCCAGGGACATTTTGCCAGGGCTCAGACTGTGGGGACTGAGAGGCATGGCAAAGAACAAGACCCGGGCATCTCTCAGGGTTGCTGAGGGGAGCCACCAGCTCCCAAGTGCGTGGGACTTTGGAGTGCCCTTAAGGCTTCCATTTCTATGAGAAAATGATGGAGGGGGTACCTGAAAAGCCCTTGCCACCCCCCCTCCAATGGGCACCCTTTTCCCAGCCCTGGAGGGGACTGCGTGGCCCCACGGGGATGGGGCGTGGCCCCACGGGGATGGGGATCCCCATGACGGGCCTGCTAGAGGAGGCCTCCTAGGCGGGGGAGGACTCAGGAAGATACAGCAGCCGGCCAAGGTCGCAGGAAGGAGTCAGGAGCTGCCTCCACAGGAGGCAGTCCTTTTCCAAGCCCCTCCCCAGCTTCCTAGCCCCCTCCCTGGGCCCCACTCAGGGCCTGTCCATCCCACTCACTCCCAGCCTTCCCTCAGCTTATCTGCAGACACCCACAAGCAAGGGCAGAAATGTCTTAGGATCAGACCGGCCACCAGGACTTGGGAGGGAGTTGCCAGAGAAAGTTGGCTGAAGAAGACTTATCAGTACAGGACTCCTGGAAACTTTCAAGCGGAAGGTGCACGCCAGTCAGACCCGGTTCAATGGCCTCACTTTACAGATGGGAAAAGAGAGGCCTTACACAGGGGATTCCTTTGTTTTGCGTAAGCCACTTCCCTGGGGAGAGCTGGGCTGTCACCCAGAGTCCTGAGACGCCGCCCAACGCTCTAGCCTCTCACTGGCCAAGACGCGCGGGTGCGGAGACAGCGGGAGAGGCCAAGCGCATCCCCTCCACAGGCAGGGGCGCAGCCCGGGTAGTTGCCCATCCACCCCGCCTCGGTTCTCTGTCCGAGTTTGTCAACAGTGGAGGTGGAGGGAGGGCGCCGCTGCGAACTTCCGAGCAAAGAGGAGGGGCGGGGGCGGGAGGGCGGCGTGATCACTCACCAGAGCCGGCGAAGAGGCCAGAGGCGCAGAGCAGCACGCCGCATAGCGCGGCCAGCAGGCGGAGTCCCGGCATGCTGGGGGACATGGAGTGCGGGGCCCGGGCTCCGACTGTGCAGACTGCGGGACTCTCACTCCTTTTCCTGGACCAGAATAAATCAGGCAGCGCAGCACCGCCCACTGGCCCGGTGCTCCGCCCAGGCCGGCCGGAGGCGGACTCAGGGGCGGGGCTCCGCAGCCCGGAGCGAAGGGGGTGTCCCAGGGGTCCACGCCTCCCGCCTCCCGCCTTCCCGCCCAGCCTCCAGCCCAGCCACACCCAGCATCCTGTTTGGGGCCAGTGAGTGACCAGGCCCCAGTCCTAAATCGACTGGGCAGGGAGGAAGGGCTCAGAAGTAGTTTGGTTTGGTTTTGTTCTTTAATTTTAGACTTAAGAAAAGATATTAAAGCTTATTCATACTACGAAGAATGCAAATTAAAAGTACAATGAATGCCATATTTTCACTTATCAGATTGACAAGTAGCAAAGTATGAGCACACCGTTTGAGTGCGAGGCTGTGGGGCGCAAGCCCGAGCATGCACTGTTGAAGGGAGGGTAAATTGGTTCACCTTCTCCAGACAGCTACTTGGTGATGCTTGTCAAAGTGACAAGTGCTGAGACCTAGAGACCTAGCAATTCCACTGAACAAGAATTCATTCTACAGAAACATGCATTTGAAAAATGACATGCCCACAAAGACAGCACAGCATAGCAGCATCCATTCAAATGGAGAGGGCTGGAAAAGAGGATAAACGCCAGAAATATTTTGTAAGTTGAGCCCACAGCCCTCACAGGTAGATAGGGTGTATGGGGTTAGGGGAGAAGGGGATCAAGGATGACACTCGGGTTCTGCCTGAGCAACTAAGTGGATGATGGTGACTTTCACTGAAATAAATTACCTCTTATCTATCTCATCCCAACTAGGTGAGCTCCTGATCTCTAGGACTGGGCGCAGTGCCCAGCACAAGGAAGCACCCCTAAAACATCTGTGGAATGAATGACTGTCCCCATTGGGCAGAACCAGAACCAGGGTGTGGAGGTGATAGCAAAGCAGACTGTATATGGGAAAAGGAAATGCTCCTATGACAGCAGCCAGGATTGCAATGGGGTGTGGGCTGCTGTTATGGGGGGCGGGCTCCCTGTGACTGGAGGGATTTAAGCAAAGGGCGTGTGTCAGGATAGTGTATGAGAGGGTCAGAGGACAGGTGACCTGTGAGGTCAACACTATCTCTAAGATTCTGAGTTACGATTATTTGCCCCGCACTGCTCAATTCCATCAACGTGGAGGGCCCGGAAGAGGTTGTCCAGTCCAGCCCCCTCCGCTTCTGCTTCCCAGCATTCGTGAACGTGGGCATCACGTGAGCTTGAGCAGAACAGCACAGCAGCCCCTCAAGCACACCCTCCAAATGCACGCTGTCTTGCCCAAACCAACTCTGCTCTGAGCACACATCATTATCTGTGAGCAAACATCCCTGCTCAGGGACCAAACAACCCGCTTTTGTTTCTAAGCCAAAGGCCAAGGGCCAGGGGCCAGTGCTGGGGAATAAATGTGCTTTCAGTTGAAAAATGTAGATGTGTGTTCTCGCTGAAACCAAAAAGGTGGGCTAAACTCTGAGGTTCCTTTATGTGATTTTTCTTACTTTGGCTTCTGCTGACCACTGTCGTGATTTCTCTGGCAAATCCCTCCACCCTGACTAATTTCCCCTTCTCTGACGCCTGAAGCCGGACACTCAGATCTATTCACAGCTGAGTGGCACCCTGAGACATTTTCTCATCCAGGGTTGCCTGTGAGACAGGCAGCTGGGTTTAGAGCTGGGGCCTAGATTCGAGCCCCGGCTTCGAATGTTACCTGCCTGATGACCTCTGCCAAGCTGCTAGTTAGGCACCTTTATTTTCTTCACTCAAAGTTTGTCTCCTTTCTTTCTTTATAGGAGATTAATGGCATCAAGAGAAGTTGCTTCAGTGACCCAGAACAGTTCGTTGGAGGAGCCAGCATCTGCTGTGGAAAAGAAACATGCTCTCACCTGGTCTGCAGAGTAGAAAGGAAGTGAAAAAAATGACTTAGAAAGATCTATTTTGATAGGACTCTGCTCAAAGCCTTTCTAACCGGGCCAACTGGACATCTGGACAACCTATCTCACGCCTGAGTCCAGAGCAAGGCCATTTCCGGAAGAACATCAAGTCCTTTCTTGGAAATCGAATCCAAGGAAGGCTGGAACAAGAGCCTCAAATTGGGCTGGGTTGAGAGGTGTCAGTAAAATGCAGGCCAGGAGGGTGCATCCCTGGCTAACCCCACAACCACCATGATCCAACACCCAGCCTCTCTAATTCCTCCCTGCTTCTCATCCCCCAGCTGGAAGGAGCTCTCTTCAGGGGTCTGGGGGCCTTTCCCATGCAAAGATCCCCAATCTGTTTGGAAGCTGGCTGTCTTCCTGGCCCTACTCACGGCCTCCCTCTTTAAGCCAGCAGCTCCAGAGCTTGTCAGACATTGATTTTCCCATTTCTTTCAAGAAAACGTTAACCTTCTCAATGAACAGGGTTGAGACTTAAAATTTCTGACTTCTTGCTCCAAACCCACTCCTCTGTAGCTCTGGCCTCAAAGCCTCTTAGAACACGATTCCCAAGTCCCAGCAGATGTCAGAAGAGCTTTCGCAAAATTGCCGGGTGAACAGATTGGTGGGCCCAGCCTTTGACAGATTCCAAATATGCTACTTGGCCCAGAGGGTGCCCAGCTTGGCTGTATGGGGCAAGTTCCGCAGCTGAGAAGGGAATTTGGACTTCACCTCCTGCCCCAATCCCTGTGCCACATGCTGCACCATCAAACAGTGTCCCTACCTAACCCGTGTTCATTCATATTCAAAAATATTCATCGAGCAACTGCAAGCTGTGTGGTGTGAGGACCCACTCAGAACCCCCGAGTTGGTGGGATGAAGAATACATGAAGCTGAAGACAGCTGAGATTCAACAGACACGGAAAGCAGCCTTCTGGGAGCTTCCCTATCTGACTAAAAGCAGGGAGTTCTGAGAAATGAGGACTGCCATCAGCTCTCTCTTTGGGGTGGGTCTGCTCCCAGGAAAGAGGCCAAGAGTAAACCTACCATAAATCCCCTTTCTGGAGGAGTTTTATGGCCCTGAAGAAGGCAGAAAGGCCACCTATCTTTATAGGTACAAACATTATTACAAACATTCCTATGTCCCCTTTGTTCTCCTAAAGAACCATGTTCTTTGCATAGGAGCTTTGCCTTCCCCTTCTTGCCCCTACTGTTAGATACACAAGCCCTAATTCTAACCCCTACGTTGAGTTACTCATCATTCAGCACTCCTGTGTGTCAATAAACGTTTTTCTCTTGTTAATTTGTCTTTTGTAAGTCTAATATTATAGGCCTCCAGATACAGAGCCTAAGAGGGTACACAAAACATTTCTCCAACCCAGGTTTTACCCTCCAGTTGTCTGCAGGGCCTGGAGCCCCTAAACCCACGTAGCACTGCTAACCTCTTGATCCTAAGACATTAGACCCTTCTCACAGTGCCCTTGGGGGTGTCCCAGTTCCTAGCCTTGCTCTCCTCCTATGCTTATACTCAGCTGAGGAACTCTCTGGGACATGGGCCATCAGCCAGAATCCACTTCTTTCCCAGCATATCCACAGGTCAAATAAAGATATTTGTCTTTCAAAAATTTAGATTTTAGGGGGCGGCCGGTTAGCTCAGGTGGTTAGAGCGCAGTGCTCATAACAAGGTTGCCGATTCAATCCCCACATGGGCCGCGGAGCTGCGTCCTCCACAGCTAGACTGAAACAACTGCTTGACTTGGAGCTGATGGGTCCTGGAGAAACACACTGTTCCCTAATAAAATTTAAAAAAAAAGAGAAGGTTTTAGAGTCTATTTATCTTCCTAGAATCTAGAATGCTGATTAAAGCCCTAGGGGCTACTGCCAGATAACATGGTGGTCTGGCCAGGGGAGCTTTTGCACACGAGTCCAACCCCTTCAGTCTCACCAGCAAGGTGACTTGCACAAAAGCCTCCTTTCCCCAATTATCCAGCTCAGAACTGCTGAATCAGATACTCGCACATTTCCTAAGGGCAGACAGGCATTCTTGGAGATAGGACTGCCTAATCCTTGAGGAGGACAAGGTCCTACAATTTGCAAGGTTGCCTCTCAGTCCCTGAGTTAGTACTTCACACCACCCATCCCCCAGAGCACACAAAGACCCAGCTGAAGCTTTGAAATCACCACTTGTAATTGCATTCTTAGCCAAGGGTGGCCCTCCTCTCTGCCACAGTCTGGGGGTGGGGGAGGGCATTCTTCCGGCGATCTTTGTGTTTGGGAATGTAAAGTTGAGATGTGTGAGGCATCCATTCAGTTGGAAATAAAGCTCTGGGAGTGAGTTGATCCATACAGATAGAAGTGAAAATCCTCCGCTCGGAGGTGACCATCCAGGCCAAGAAAATAGGGGCGCTCCCTTGGGGGCACACACGGGGAGAAGGCAGAGCCTATGTGTTTGCAGCTGCAGGGTATGCGAAGATGCCCTCCCTCACCTCTGCCCAGCTCCCCCATACTCAAAGGAGAAGAAGCAGGAGGAAACCAAGAGGTTTTGAGTGCCTACTAGCCAGAAGGCAACATTAGGATATGTGAAGGCCATGGAGTTCTGAGGACTCCAAACTGGGATTGAACCTGGCTCTCCCAGTTTTAGGGCTCAGTGCAAAGTAAAAATGCAAGGCCCTTTGCTCAAAAGTTATTAAGACTTTCAAGACGAGGACAGCAGAACTTTAAGCCAAGCATAGGTCCTTCTAAGCGAGAGGCTGTACAGGAGTGCACAGGTCTCACGCCCATGAAGCCAGCCCTAGCGTGACCCTGGGCACTGATTTCTCATGTTTCTCAAAAGGCTGATGTGAAAGGAAGTAGTAGTGATCTGTGGCCAAGCACCTAGAAGGAGCTAAGGTTTGTTTTCTTCCCATATCCTTTCCTTATTCACAAGATTGTTATAAACGTTACAGAGGTATCATGCTCTCAAGCTGCTGCTGAACCTAGGACCTGCCTCCCTTTCAGAGGACTGGTCTGCCAGCTGCTTCACTCAATGTCCTATTTCAAGTCACAGGGACCTTGGGTCTTGACTCCCTGAATCCCC